TAATTATATAAAAATTATTAAATGCTTTTTGTTGGCGTTGTTGTTTGGTTTGGTGCGATTCCACTGCCTAACCCTTTCCCTTAAAATTTTCTTAATATTTTTTCTTTATGTAATTGTTTTGGATTCTTGTTTTTGTWTGTGTGTGTGTTAAATATTTGTTAAGCGTGCAATAAAACAAAAACTCACCTTCGCAGTGAAGCCCATTGCCGTGATAGCCGGGAAAGCAGGTACACGTGAAGCTGCCAAGCGTGTTGATGCAGTGCGCAAACACATCGCATGGGCGATATTTGCACTCGTTTTCATCTGTAAGCGTTTAGGATTAAGCATTAGTTTAATTGTGCATTGGCGTTTGTGGCGTTATATTTATGAGCGTTTTCTTGTTTGTTGTTGTTTTTGTTTARCGTTAATTGATTGTACTTATGTTATTGTAGTTTGGAGTTACTATGTTTTTTTGTATTGGTATAGGCAAATGTATGYATGTTTGTATAAAGTAAAATTAATATGTTTTGTTGGTATTAAATTGCTGCAGAGCTAAGCTACTTAAATTATATGCTACAAATTTGCTATATGTAAGGCWGTGCTATGTTAGCTAGCGCCCGATATTATAAAAAAAATTAATATTTGTGGTAAATTAATTTAGAGCGTTTGTAATTAAAGTGGCTAATTTTTAATTTTTTATGAAGTAAAATTGTATAAATGCCCTTCAAAAACTGTGTGTGCCAAATTGTTATAATTACTTAGAATTCTTCATAAGTCTRAGTTACTTAATCAGCGTTTATTGCAAGCTTCAATAATTGCTTTTTTACATATTAGTTTTTTCAGCTAAGCTTTTACGTGCTTGCCTTATATTTGAAGCAATTGCTGTTAATAATTTTTAATTTCACTGTGCAAAAATTGATTTAAAAGTATTAAAAAATTAATATTAATTTTAAAAAATATTTAATTTTAATACAAAAGTGTAAAATTTAGAACAATTTGATTAGAAATTAGTTCTATAATA